AGAACAGAATTTAGGTTGTGGTCACACTTAAGACAGGATGCAGGCTGCTATCTGCCAGGATGTGTAACCAAATTACTTAATTCAATCTTTAATAACCTGCAGTGAGCTAGTCCAGTTGCTATAATCCCAAATAAAGGTCTCCAGCCTTTTTTTAAAAAATAAAGGTCCACATGTAGTATTTTCATTTTAATCCACTCTTAGTTTTACAATCAACAACTCTGACTGTTAAGTTTCTTGTATATTGTCAAAAAGCTTGTAATTCTCCATTTAAGAGCAGTTAACAATCACCTGAACCTCTTAATGCAAGTGTCTTACATTGTCCCACCCAGGATAGGACCAATCCAATTCTAAAAATCCACAACAGAATTTGCATCAAACAGACAAACAGAAAAAATCTAACCAATGAAGTCTGAAGTGCTTTCTTGTTACACAGAATTATTTTCTTGCAATGTATTCTCTATTATTACATGCTACTTAAAAAAAGTTAACTTCAAGGAAGAACAACCAATTTCTCGACAAAAATACTTCTTTTTACACTCCAAAAATTTCTAATGTTCTGCTTAACCTTTTACCTCATTAGAAGATTGATGGGTTTACATTTTAGGCCATTTAAGAACAGATAATAAGATAATCTAGGACAAGTAACTGCTACATAGACTTCCAGAAGATCAACGTGATAGCAGGCCAGATCCTTCTGTAGCCTGTGTGCACATGACCAAGGATTTACACAAAAATAGTGCATGGATTAGCAACAGAATCTCAATGTGACCCTTTTCAGATTAACTTTCCCTATTGGTTATTCTCAGAAGGAGCTGCAGATCTTCAGGTATTTTTCAGCAGTACAAGTGTTGATAAGCAGAGAAACCAAGGGTTCCATGCCAGAATTCAATGTTACCACTTATTACTATGAGCTTTTGAGGAAGTTTCAGATGAATGGAGATTCTTCACCTTGTGTCTCCAATATCTTCAGTGCTGGGGTCAAGTTGGCCTGGTATAACCAGGCCACCAAAATAGAGACTTGGTAATAAATACTTCAGAAGGTCATGTTTATTCCACCTCACCTGCAGCTGAGAACCTAATATGAAGGAGCAGTTGAGGCTTCTTGCATTCTACCACAAGATATAAGCACAGAGTCAGTATTTCTCAATTCTGAGTGCTGGGAACAGATTCAGACAGGAATAAAGCTGCCCTTTTAATCCAGCATTTATTACACTTCCAATGATTAGTTAGTGGCACACGTGTCAGCACAGAGGTCAGATATAATGATCCAAGGCTGTAAAATGCTTAATATGTTAGTGTTTAATATATTAGATGCAATCCTAAGCATCCCAAAGCCTTTGACCCTTCCTCTTCAGTGCAGACAAGGCAGTTCCATATTTCAGAATGATTTCTTAGCTACCCATAAGATGTGAATGAACAGGGGAAAAAACACCAAAGATTTACACTGATATCAAGACTGCACTAAAAAAGCTAGTCAAAACCGCAGCAGAGTAGTTACCACAAAAGCTGAAAGACTGCCTTTAGGTTACAGAGACAAGCACTTGAAAAGTTAAGAGAAATCAAGCACAGAAAGTGGATATGCCACTTACACGTGTATCTCGTGCAGCAGGTATCCTGCATTCCCACCAAAGACAGTAATATAGGTATGAAACTAACTGACTGAACTGCTTTTACCAGCTAAAAATTACTGCACCTTGCATTTGCTAACTTAATTCCCATTTGTTTCAGTGCATTCCTGTAACAAGCACTCATGCCAGTAAGCTAATATATTCAATACTTCTTAAGGTTCTCTCTGGGTATTTGAAGAAGGGGTTAACCTGATTTTCCCTTTTCTACCAGAAATCCTGTTGCAAGAGAGACTTGGAGAGAAATGTTTGCAGTTGCTATTACATGTTTAAACCACACTGGGAAAAAGACAGAAGATGTAAGACTGAGGAGAAGCACGTTACTGCTGCAGATGTGAACACACTAGACAGGTCTTTGACTTGAGACAGTGAGTTGGGCAAATAAAGGTGCACGCACTACTCAGAAGCATCACAAAAACTGTTCTCCCACCTCTCTCCTCCTCACTTTGAAGGGTCAACCCAATATACACTCCTACCCATGTTGGAGAAAAGGAGAAAAAAGAAAGAGGTATCAGATAAAGCCTTCAAAAAGTAGTATTACACAAGTCTTAATTTGTTTTTTCGATTGGCTAAGCAAAGCAAGATATTTAGAGAATAAATTAGTCTGCCACTATATGAGGCCTGAACATACAAGTACTTGACCCTGCAACACATCCCCTATAGATCCCTGCTGAAAGGACACTTCTGACTAGTTCCTGTTTCAAGGTAGCATTAAAATACAGTTGCTTATTAAGCAGCTACAATCAATGAGCCAGATTAGTTATCTATCACAAAGTTACGCTGTATTATTTCAAAAGGTGTGTTGTAACTGTGTTAAGCACTTTCTTAAACATGCTTGTTCATACAGGAGTTGAACCTTAAGTAGAACAGTATTTGTATAGCACCTTGAAGTGTTTGTCCTCTCTAGATGTTAAGTATTATTTTTATAAAAACCATTTCTGGCAATGACTTAAGTCTCTGTATAAATAAATGGGTTTTTTAATGCTGTGGCACTAATACATCAGCCATTCAAATCATTCAAATTAGCCATTGTTTCACCAAATGAACAGGATAAAGATGATGTTTAGCACATAATAGAGGAAAAGAACCATAGCATGAGGTATAAAACAAGTATTCTACAAAAAAACAACCCTGCACCCAGAAATTGTGCTTCAGCTAATAAAAATGCCACGTTTGTCTGTCAGTAGTCATGTAAACACACCTATTTATGTCAGTATCAAGGTAAGGATTCCTTAAGTTATCCATTACCACTACAAAGATGAGTGTTTTAAGTTGCAACTGTACAAAATCCATACACCATCCCTGTGCAAGTGTTGCTTGCACAAAGGAACTCGGATCTTGTAAAAATCTAGTGTATACCAGTCACAGCCTGTTCCCTTTGATTAACACCAGAACCAAACTGAAATGCTGACTACGTTTCTAATATGTTATCAGTCAGCAAAGTACTGAATATTTAATAATTCAATTATTAGAGACCAAGCACTGCCCTCTGATAGCTGAAAATTTTTAAAAAAATCATGCTGTCAAATGCTAGGTCTGCAAGAACATGGGTGCTATTTAAAAAGAAAGAAAGAAAAGAAATTGCCTAAAAACTGCCAGGTTTTTCCACCAAGTAACAGGAATATGAGTGTCTTTGAAACAGTGGTGATGTTTGGTGTTTTTTTCCTGTAAAATACAGAACAATATATTAATTACATCCTGTATTTAGATACTATTTAGGTGTTTAGTTTTGTTGGGGTTTTTTGATTTGCCTTTTTTTTTTTAAATTCAAATAGACTTTAACTCTTTACCACAGCACAGTTTAGTGGAAATACACATCCTCAGATTTTAAGTCTCTCTCCTGCACTTATCAGCATTTAAACTTCAGTGCTGTGACCACTAATATTTTAATATAATAATTATTAATTATTATATAATTTAATGTTGTATTACCTGACAAGATCAGCAATAAGTGAAGTAACTTTTTAGTACAAAAAGAAAAATGCAGTCAAATACAGAATAAGCCAAATCCAACATGAATTTTACTGGCACAAAGCTTTCAATAACCAAACAGTTCTAAGTATGATCAAGCCTATGCAGCTTTTTAAGTCTCAAAGTAGAAGTGCTTAAAGATTGTTCAGTATTTTTCCTTATAGTGTCCATCAGATGTCAAGAAATTCAGATTCAGTTTATCTGCTATTATGTTGCACATCTAGATGCTTTAACATTTGAATCCCTTAAACACTTGCCTCTATTTCCTGCAGTTGCTCTTGATTTGTTGCATACATTTGCTGTAAAGATGCTTCTAGTTCGGTGTTGCGGTCCAGGAGCGTCTTCCCAAGCTCAGCAGCAAGGTGAAGGTCTAAACCAAGAAAGCATGTTTGCACGTAAGTTACAGAGCCAAAAAACCACTCTAATTTTAAAGTATTTTAATCCAATAATTTAGGTGGTTTTGTGTTTCTGTTATAATTGCTCTATGTTATTTCCAGTAGCCAAAAAGAAACTTGGTTTATACTTAAGTAGAACATCAATATACAACCTATAATGCAAGCCTAAGTCAGTCCTGAAACCTAGAAGACACTCTTATCTCTTGAAGCTTCTTTAGTTTCTCCTTTGGTCCTTCAGCCACAGGTCAGACACATCCACTCATCTTGTCCTCACTTCCTAACATCTGCCTAGTACTGTACCAGAATCTCTACCCAGTCTGTCAGCTATGCTTCACCATGTTTACAGCACTCCTATTTCAGAAGAATAAGCATTAAGGACCCTATAATAAATGTTCATCAGGCTAGACAATGGCCAAAGCTGATTGTACTCTTACTTACTTTGCTGTTCTTCCCCATTACCCCTTCACCAAGGAAGTTCAGGTCATACAGGATCAAGTGTGAAATGAAAGCTTCACATGCTTTTTTATGGTGACACAATATCAAAAGACATAAAATGGATAAAGAAATGTAGCTATTCTAATGCTTTTCAAGCTCATAAACTCAGGAGACAAGAATTGGTTTATGTGCTTCAAAACATCATTTTAAATGTCACTTTTTCTCAGGTACTTAATCTCAATTTCACTTCAGACATCTTAAATCACCTGCAGGGTGCAGTGACTGTAGTTGTTTCAAATTAAGAAATAAGTCATCTGAACACCCAATTCCTTTCTAGAGCAAAGCTTGGTATTTGTTCAACAGAATCAGTAGCACTAGATATTCTGTATTACTGCGTTTAAAGATATGCAATTTAAAAGCTAACATAATGTGACAAGGAAACAAATATTGGTGTTACTGCTAAAATTGTAATTACTCTGTGCAGGGTATTACATGTTAAGAATCAAACAGATTTCTGAAAATCTCTAATTTTCCACCTGCTTCCCATTACCCGGACCATGACCATGCATGCTATACAAGCTTGTTAATTTTCACATAGAACTAGCATCACTAGTGGGAAAGAAACAGAAAGAAAGGAAAAGCTAGATTCCCTTCAAGAAGAGTTAACATACAAGGGACATGTAGTGGTAGCTAGATGAGAAAAAAAAAATTCATAGTATTAAGATGCCCTTGTTTCAACATGTTAGCTTACCCCTTTCCTGCCCCTTCCCAATTATCTTATCAGCTAGTCATTGTGATAGATGGAACACTGGTCTGAGATTGTTTTGTGCTAACCTTCAGTTTGGCAGCCTGTCCAAAATTATTACCTACATACACAAGCCAAATTCAGACTTACAAGGACAAGTGAGTAGGTGCATTTGTCAATTAAGTTGTAGATGTCCAATTCTGGCAAAACAACAGCTGTGACCTTAAGATCAGATTCTTAGAATAAATTCCACAAAAATTATTTTAAACAAATCACACTGCATTGGAGCTCCTCACAGTTCCAAAAGGTGTATCACTAGGAGCCACATGGCATAATGATCTATACTTAAGGAGTTTATTCTCACAGAGCTTTTCATTGTAACACCACTTGTAAAGAAACACAGCCTATTCCAGGGCTGGAGCTTAAGTAAGGAAACCTAAAGGCATCCTTCTTAAGTTCTGCCCATTTTTAAACAGAGACTGTACATTGTTTTGCCATGGACAAAATAACTCCCTGCCAAACACCCAGCTGTTTGTTCTTTCACATTACATAATACTGTAGTCTTCAAATCCAGTGAAGCTCTTATCTCTTATAAAATGGAGTCCCAATTCACAAGTTCTCATACTACTCAAATCTTTACTAGGAGCCACAATCTTTAAAGCTAGTCAACAATACGGACATAACTCAAGGCAAAGACTAAGTAGTCCATTCTTTTATTTTAATAAGAGATTTAGAGAGATTTTAGGATTATATTAAAGATATACTACATAATGGAATTACTTCCTGCCATTTCCCTTCCCAAAGTGAAAGTTTGAATGTTTAAGTACACTTAGGAGTTGACAGTTTCATTCTTGAATGCCTCCTCATCTACTAAATCAGGTAGCACACGCTACACAGTACTTTGAATACAATGTGAGTAGTAGAATTCAATCATTATACTGACACACTCATTCTGTTCATTAGAATGGCAGAAGCACAAATGAGTTACTCTAGGAAAAGCATGCTGTTTTGTAATTAAGGCAATTTGTTTCTGAAGGGGAGAAGACAAGTGGAAAAGCTCAGCAAAAACCCTAACTCCTACCCCTAAAGAAAGCAAGAACTGAAACAACTTCACCTTTTCTAAAATCAAGAATTTGCTTTGTGTCTATTTTTCTAAACTGTTAAGTACCTATAAGCATTATAAAGAGCATATTTTAGGAGTGAGATGTGCAATATGCACGTGTTCTCTACATACTGAAGGAAAACCGCTCATTTACAATTCTCTTGCAGTTAGTGCACAATGCTAGAAGCTCATTGCATTTTCTGTCCTAAATGTATGTAAATAACAGCCAAGGTCTGCCTCAGACGTGCACTTTTCCTTCTCACCATGAAGATGTAAGCAAAGAGGTTTTTAATAATGCAAACTGCATACGTGCAGATGTTCAGCTCTTACTTTTACTAAATCTGATCAGTTGTACTGGTGTTTAAAAGCCCCATTAGATAGAAATATCTGAACCAACAGGACTTCAGTAAGTCTTCTCTGAAGTTAAACACCCCTCACTTACCAGCACTTCTCCACAATCTATTCTGACAGTGTTACTATAATTGAGAAAAAGATTAAAACAGTACCAAAATCCTCCTCTCCTACTTCTTCATAACCTAACAAAATTATTAAAAGAATTTTCAATCTAAAAAAAAGTATGTTCTTTTCAACAGCAAAAGGCATTAGTAGTGCAAGATATGTAAGGAAGGCTGGCTGAAGTTTACTTAACTGGGGAGGGACTTTTTACCAGGGTGTGTAGTGATAGGACAAGGGGTAATGGTTTTAAACTGGAAGAGGGGAGATTTAGGTTAGACATGAGGAAGAAATTCCTTACTGGGAGGGTGGTGAGGCACTGGAACAGGTTGCCTAGGGAGGCTGTGGATGCCCCCTCCCTGGAGGTGTTCATGGCCAGGCTGGAAAGGGCTTTATGCAACCTGGTCTGGTGGGAGGTGTCCCTGCCCCTGCAGGGGGGTTTGAACTAAGTGATTTTTAATATCCCTTCCAACTCAAACAATTCTAAAAGTAAAACCTTACTTTTTTGCTTTTTACTCATCTTCATATTTCCTGCTCCATGTTCAGATTACCCTCTGTTCTCTTAAAGATGTAAAAAGAGCAGCCACACAAAAGAATTCTTTTTCAAAGGTCAGCATACTGCAGCACAACATGGATGTTGCAGAAGGAAGCACAGCTGCTCCAGTCCTTAGAAGAATTCCGTAAGCATTCTGTTTTCATGAACAGCGTGCCAGACAAGCCCACCTCCATTGTCAAGGCAAAGGCTTCTGCTGCATACAAAGACTGTCACAAGTTTTTTTCCAAAACCCTACCCAAATTTTACATTTCAAAGACTGGCTGACAAAAACTACAAGCTTGTTTCAGGGCGCTTCCTAACGTTTTACAACCTAGCTTTTCTCATAAACATACTCCCCAGTTTTTAAACATACATTGATTGTTTGGATTGTGAGAAGTTTCAAGATACCTTGATAAGGAATCGTACTACTCTGTTTACATACATTAGGATTGCTTAGTCTTAGGAGAAGGAGAGTATCTTTCAGACTGCAGGAATAAGGTGTAACAGAATGTCTAAAAAACATTCCTGTAAAGAATTTCTTCTTTGCATTTCAATTTGCCCATCAGTTTATTTTCCTCCTTTTTCCAAGGCAATCAGTTAATTCCATCTAGGCTTGTAAAGAGATAATTGCCAGAAAAAGATTGTTCCAATGTTGAGAGCATTGACCAACCCTCAAAATGACGAAACCTCTCAAATACTGTTTCTTAAATGCTCATAGCATAGAGTCAAATGGTGATTATTTCACTTATTTTAATTTTTAAAATGACATTAAAAGGAACATCAGTTAGGCAAGAATCCAGTTGCAATACATTGTGAAGTCTATGTAGGTCTTCTACTCCACAAAAACTGACATTGCTAAATCATGTCTTCAAATCTTGAACTCTTCCCTTTGACAGGAAACTACTGTTTCAGGACCTTATTTGAACTGATTGGTTTATATCCTACAGCCATAAAAACATCTATTTTGAGCAGCAAGTACCTAAACACAGCTTTCAAACACTATTTTATAGTCAAAGCATACAATTAGAGAGACCTATTCCTGTCTCAAAAAACGTTTCTGCTGTCAGATGCCTGATCTCAGTAAGAAACCTGGTTAGCTGGGAAGAGCTTTCAAAAGTATCTTTCTTTCTGACTTATAGTACAGCAGCACCTACCAACCACGAGAATTAAGGTATCTCAAGGTAAAAGCCAAAAGCACAAGGCTGGAGCAAGCTGCAGAAAGCCACTCCACAGCTTTGAGCTGGCCTTTGAAAACTAACTCAGCATTAATAACAAAAAGGAGAAGTAAAGGAATTTGCACCTTTTTTTTCCATATTGTATCCGTAGAAGATTTTTAGTCTCATTCTATACATCGTGTACTCCTGTGACTGCTCCCGCAGCAGTGGAAGGAGCACGACATGCCCTGCATGTGATGCTTCAGACCTACTGACAGGATGTCACGCAGGAGCTGGATACAGACCCTTCTGGTGCCCAGCGGAGTTACTGGTACGTGTTAAGAACTGAATGTATAAAGTTTTTAATGATGGACCTGCAACCAATCGAGTGCAGCTACGTTTCCAGCTTCATCGACTGGAAACCCTCACAAGAAGCCCCAGCAGGGCGCGATGCAGCAGCCCAGCCCTCGCTGCCCGTGCCCGCTGCTCCCGGCGCCCACCCGGGAGCTTCACGTCCTGTCAAGGTGCAACTTTCCGGGGAGCCGCTTCCCTCCCGCCTGGGAAGGGGCTCAGGCACGATTTAACTCGGCTGCAGCAACCCCTCCGTCAAACAAAGCCGGCTGCCCCCTGCACCGACAGCAG